TAAATAGATTATTCAATCCCCCAATTAGGTTATCTCGAGCCAGCCGGTTTAGGTTTTTAGAGTTCCCTGTTACGATAGGGGACTGGAGAATAACAGCGGGTCTGCCGTTAATCGAATCCAGGAAAGAATTTAAATTTGATTCTTTTCCCATTTTTCCGTTACTTTGCAGATCCGAGTCCGAACCCAGTTGCCGATTTTGGGGAGAAAGACTCCTAGTGGAAAACTGCCACTGGTGGGCATCCCGGCACGTCCCTGGGTCGTCGGTCTTGCGGCAGATAGCTTGCCGCCGGTCAAGCTTAGCAGAGCCCTCCGATTTTGCCTGACCATCGGAGCAAAACAGCTCCTTAGAGCGGGAGGTAGTCCCGATCACCCTTACACTGGGGACCATTTTGGGGGTTAATACTACCAGCCCTTCTCGTTCCACATCTTCCATAGATGGAAGAGCAAAACGCCATTTGATACGACGATCGAATTTCAATCGTTTAATTTCATGGATCGTAGGAGAGTCGATCCTCCCCTCCCCATCAATCTTTCTTTTTTTACCCCCTTTTTGGGTCCGCCGACGAAGCTGCCAGAGGATTCTTTTTTCGGAAGCAGAAGAAAGCCGCTCCGATGTCCCCATGTACTGCTGCTTCTGTGTGTTGACATGAGTTCTCCTCACTTCACCTGCATGATCGCCTTCACCTGCATGATCGCAAACCTTCCCTCCCTGATTCTTCACACAGTGGGATAGAAGCAAAAGCACCATTGACAAGACGAGATGGCCGATCCAACGCCCTAGGCGGAGGAGAGAGGGGAGAGCATCCCCCATTTTTTTTTTTTTTTAAGTTCTTGCGAATATCAAGTAATCTCATTTATGATTACATAAATCTTTCTCGATGGTCGAACATGGTATGATCGGGTACGGTCCGTGGTTCGATCGAGTCGGGAAATGAACCAGACGAAATATGGGAAGGGCATGCAAGAACTAGAACTTAACCAAATGTCGAAATTCCAAACCTTGTTTACCTTACTTTCATGAGAATTTCATGAGTTAAGCGTCCCATTCAGTTTGACGTAAAACAAATGTGAATTTTTTTCCGATTCAGTCTAATGTACACCGAATCGTTGTCGATCTGCACTGGCCGGTGGCAACAAAAGTATATTTGATTGTAATTGTTTTTGTTGTTTCTTCCCGGCCGGGGGTGATGTGATGACATAATGAAAACCAATATAATTTAGCCGACCATTCGATAATGTAGCTATTGTTTATGCTCTTTACAGCCTTGATTCTGCATATTACCCATTTCTTTTCTCCTCCTCCTCCTTCACTATCAACCACTACATTAAGAAATGCTTTTTTTTCTTCTTCTTTTACATTGCGGTGCTGGGCCACTCCCACTGCAACGGCTCTTAGAGTTAGAGTTGTTCTCTGGAATTGGAGGGACATCATAATTTCAATTTGGGTGCTTGGTAGGGACGAAGCATATGGTGTAAAACTCCAACGGTTAGTGCTGAATTTTTTTTTTTGTGGTCGACCATGTCGGGGTGGCTGAGCATTTCGCGATGTTAGCGATTCAATTGTTGTTCAAAAAAAGATAACTCATTATATTGTCACTTGTTAGAGTCTTTTACAACGTTACGGGATCACATAACATATCCTGTCGGTTATAAGAAGAAGAAAAAAATGTATGTTCGCATCAATAATGTGTGCACGTTTTCACGCCAACCCAGTTAAGAGTTTTGATGCTTACACACATTATATGTGTTTGATTCTCGCTTTGTTGTCGTCCATGTTCATGATCAAACAACTGAATAGGTGCAGACTTATACTTACATCAATTTCGTTCCGCTGTCAAACCGGGTTTGAGAGGTCTTTGAGAATCGAAGCGAGAACTTCTGCAATTCACGGGTAGCGTTGATTTCACTTCACCCTAAGGAAATGTCAATGTTGATGGAATTCCGTCAATTCATAGTAGCATTGGAAATCAAGTTTTCAGGCTGCTGCGATTAGTTAACTCGAAAGACAAGAAAAGACCCGAGGGGGCAGCTGTCCTATAAGCCATTTTTCTACCACAAAAGTTTCTTATTAAACAAACAAGAAACTGCTAATACTACTACATCAGTCTTTTCTAATGGAGGAAATGCCATCTACGTAGCCCTAATCCAATAAATTAGCATATCTTTTTGGTTCTGATCAAATGGGTTTGAATTATTATGATTAGGAGGATGATAATAATAAGAATTGATTAGGGCGGTCATAATGGTGGGCTGATGATGGGTTATGGTGCCAGAGGGGATTACTTATCTGGACATATACCTAACCCTAATCCCCCCAAAATTATAGGCTTGATGAATTTCTTTAATAGTAATATTAATAAGGTGAGTTGTTGTTGTCAAGAACACTGTCTCCTACATGAACTTGGCTGAATTTAGAAACTCTGGTAGATGGGTTATTTTTTTCTTTGTCTTTCCTTTTTCTATTCTTCATTTTCACCCATCCAAATCATTTCAAGCCCAGCTTGTGGTAGGAAAATTATTTCATTTCTATTTCACCAGAAGTTTAAAAAAAAAAAGTTACCGTCGAGCTAGTTTCGTCCTTATAAACAACCTATCGTTCTTAGTAGTGAAAAAAAAACGACATAATATTAAAGAATATCATTGCAACTATGAATCCGTTTGCTAGACTGCCATTTATTAATTATCGTTGTAATTACTCTTTCGATAGTAAAAAAAAAGAAAATATCGATTATCAGAAAAAACGATAACAAAGCTAAGAATATCGTGTTAATATCCTCCAAAGTTATTATTGTTATTACAGAGAAGGAGAGATTATGATCAGCTTCCATGTGACTACGAATTATTTCTAGGGCTGGGAAAATAGACCAGACCGTTAGAAAAACCGTGGTCCAAACCGTACCGCACAGTTTGGTCTGGACCGTAGACCGTTTTAGTATGGTTTGGTCTGGTCCATGGTCTGTATTATTTTATGTTTTGATCTCTTGGTCTGGTATGGTCTAGACCGCGGTTTACCGGACCAAACCGTGGACCCAACCGACTTGCCAATATGTGTTAATAGCCCATTCGATCACTCTCCCAGCTCCCACAACGACACCCAAGTCTCAACCTTAATTTTGAGAATTTCGTCCATCCTTCATGCATAACCACATTTAACCCGAGAGTAGAGATAACTGTGTCTCCATATGACATTATGTTAATGTTTATAACGTTATGGTGCAAGTTGGGATGCTTTTACTTTGTATTTTTGTTATGTACTAAGATTTAGGGTATCAAAATTATTCGTGCATGTTAGGATTATTGTTTTAAGGCAAATAACAATTATATTTCTTGGTTATTGGTTCAATTTTTTGCGTGGTTGACTAAACAAATTATTCATTTTTCTTGAGCGTGGTCTATCTGGACCAGACCAGACCGAACCAGATCGCACAGCCGTGGTCTGGACCAGACCGTATAGTCTGTGGTCTGGTCTGTGGTCTATACTTCAATCTCTCGGTCTGGACCATAGACCGTATATATGGTTTGGTCTAGACCAGACCGCACCGTTTCCCAGCCCTAATTATTTCCATGACCTGTCCCAAAAATGGAAAAGAATATGCTTTGATTAATTGTTAATTCCAGGTCACAGTAGGGTTAAGTCCTCTGTATACAGAAAGTTCACAATAAGTTTGGAAGGACATGGAGAACAAGAGATTCCCAAATAGACAAAAAAAAAAAATTGTAATCAAATCAACCCAAAGTTATAATTATAAAGAAAAATGAGAGAAAAAAAAGATATGGACAAGAGTTGTTTGAAATTTTGAATTATTAAACATGATGATTAAAAAGTTGATATTGTAAGATTGATTATCCAGCCTGTTACTATCTTTATATAATACCGGCTACCACCCACCACCACCAGTCACAACGTAATCTCATGATTTAAGTATGGACCGGATCAGCTAGTTTTCCAATCCAAGCCCACAGACCCGGCCCAACACGAAGACTCTTTTAAGGTCCAGTTGCATAGGCTACGTCGGGAAAATTCAGGCAAACTTATATAATCATATATGTAAAACACCTCAAATACATATCTAAAATTTTAAAAATTGGCAACTTCAACAATTCAATACACGTCTCTCGATCTCAGTTCGTAATAATAGGGGGAAATGAATTCAGAACGACATAACACCTTACCTATAGCACATAGAACACAAAATTAAATAAATAAAAATAACAAGAAAATAATCAACTAGTTTCGCCTTCCTCGTAATCTTCTGCTCTCTCCTCTCTGATCGTCTCCAGCTTGGGAGAGCCATTGTTGGAAGAAGGAGATCTCAATTGAAAGCCAGGTAGAGATGGTGCAACCTCCATTAATGGCCTCTTCGTGCTTCTGATTGTCTCTTTTGCCATCTTTAACTTGATTGAGTAAGATGGAGCAAAAAATGATTTTGTTTGAGTGAATCTCTCTTCCTATCTAGGATTTTTCCAATGGAGAAAGAGAGAAAGAAAGAGATATTGATGAGATAGGAACTAGCAAGTGCCAAAATCTTTTCTTTTCCTTCTCTCGATTTAAAAAAAAAAAGAAATTATTTAGAGAAATTATGCTTTAGAGAATTTACAAAACTTGTTTATAGACGAAATTCGGGGATAATTTGAAACAAAAATTTAGGAAACACAAAGTTGGTTACATAAAGGAATGGTTGGATGGTAACAAATCTATATTATGTGTTTCTAAATTTTGTTAGAAATGAGCAATTGTGATTGCCCCAACGCCAAGTAAGTAGTTAGGTCAACCTGTGGAGTAAATTGAAGAGAGGGTTTAGGTTTTCGTTTACTATCATGGGTGGGCTGCATACGGCCCAATGTTTACTACATGAGAAGGAAATCACCCAAAATTGAACACAACAAGCCCAGCCCAATATTTGATTATGGGCCTCCAGTTGTTTCCCTCTTGCAGCCCGAGAAAAAACAAAAAACCCTAGTATATATTCTTCGCTATTTTCCCCCATTTCCACTGCTGCGATCGCTCCTCTTCAGTAAAACCCTAATCCTCTTCCTCTCTTTCCCTCCGTCGCCGCGAGTGGAGAACGCAGCAGAACAATGCCTCCAAAGTTTGACCCATCGCAGGTCGTGGACGTGTTCGTCCGTGTCACCGGCGGTGAAGTAGGCGCGGCCAGTTCCCTCGCTCCCAAGATCGGCCCTCTCGGTCTCTCCCCGAAGAAAATCGGAGAAGACATCGCCAAGGAGACCGCTAAGGACTGGAAGGGTCTCCGCGTCACCGTCAAGCTCACCGTCCAGAACCGGCAGGCTAAGGTCACCGTCGTCCCGTCAGCCGCTGCTCTGGTGATCAAGGCCCTGAAGGAGCCAGAGAGGGATAGGAAGAAGACCAAGAATATTAAACATAATGGTAACATCTCCCTCGACGACGTGATTGAGATTGCAAAGGTGATGAGCCCCAGGTCGATGGCGAAGGATCTCAGCGGCACGATTAAGGAGATTTTGGGCACCTGTGTCTCGGTCGGGTGCACGGTGGACGGGAAGGACCCGAAGGACTTGCAGCAGGAGATTACTGATGGCGAAATCGAGGTCCCCCTCGAGTAAGAGTTTATTCTGTGAGCGTTTTTTATTACTCTACTATGTCTTGGATAGTTTCCCTCTTCGGTTTTCTAAGAGAACAAACAAATGGGTTTTGCCTGAATTGTAGTTTCGAATATTTGAGAATGACTTTTGGAGTTGGCTTACATGTTGAGGCAATTACTAGACGAATTCCCATGATTTGTCTGTAGCCATTTTGATCAGTTATTGTATTGCTTATTATGGGTAGTGTCTCAACTGTGCCAGCATGATTATGGTCCATGATATGCCACTAGCTCGGTGGACTGTGTTGCTATCTACGAATTGTTTGCTGTTGTTGCTCTGTTCAATTCGTCTGTAGCTGGTGACTAAGGTATAAGATCGACGGTTGGACGACGGAAGTTATGTGTATGCGTACTAATTGATTTCTCTGGACAGTTCTTGGCTATGATTGAACTGCATTTGCTTTCCTTGTGCTCTCTGTTCTGGCATTATGGAACCAGTAGCTCTAGTTTGTTGCTCCGTCTACTGGAGTCTGTAGTTCTCTGAACTGGTTAACAGCTCCAAAACTATATGGCTTGTCTGCCAGATGTATCCGTGCGATTGTGGTGTGTGATGGTTTTAAGATATAGAAGGAAAATTGATGATCGGAGTTACCTTTTGATTGTTTGAATAGTATTACCAGGAAGGTGTAAGATTGACCGTGGAATGGAGGATATTTGTATGCATAGTGATTGAATTCTTTGGAGAGTAGTTGGCTAGGTTTGATCTGTAGTTGCTTTCTCTGTGTTCTATGTTCTGGCATTATGGAACCTTTAGCTCTAGTCTGTTACTCTTTCTGCTGGAGGCTGTGGTTCTCTTGAGTAGTTAACAGCTCCAAAACTGTACGATTTGTCTGCCAGAAGTATCCGTGCGATTGTGATATGTGATGATTTGAAGATATAGAAGGAAAACCCGATGATCTGATTTCCTTTTTGATAGTTCGAGTAGTATTGGCCAGTAAGTTCACAGCTCTCGATAAGTTTTCGCTGGTTCTGTTACCTGTAGGTTACTTGTTGGAAGGTGAGCAGACTCGGAATCCAACTCCTTCCGTAGACATGTTTTCTTGTCTGGCTTCTGTGTGTGCCATTGCCAAGTTTTTTACATACAAAACACCAATCATTTAGGTGGAACTAGCCCTTTGTGTAGCAATGTAGCCTGCTGGTTTTTATCATTCTCATTTGATCAGTTCTCCCTTGTTATTGGTAGCTTGCTTGGCTGTCTGGTTTGTTTGAGTGTTATTATACATGTGCTGCCTCTCATGGCTCCGACTGCATGCCCGGCCTTTTGAGATTGTGGTATTTGGCGACAGTCAAGGGACAGGATTAGTGGTGACTGGTGAGTAGGGATTAGGATGCAAGTTGGCAATAGATATCCAACTTCTGCAATGGCGAAGACGATAGATATGGATTATGAAGCTGCGGGGCCGATTGGGGGACCTCACTTCCTTTTTTCATGCACGAAATGTTGCTGTCTCACTCTCTAGTGTCTCTTTCGCGCTATTATGAATATCATGGAATTCATGGTCACGATTATGAACCCTCCACCGAAAAGTGAGAAACTTTCAGTTCAGTGGGCGATAGATCATCTGGAGGTCACCTTTTTGCCACAAATCCCACTCACAGTCACAGTAGTAGTAATAGTAAGTAGCCTAGTAGGGGTTAGTCAGGACGTGTTGACACAGTTGGGTTGTAAATGTTTCAAGTGTTTATTGACCGTTCGATGCATGTCGTTGAAGAGCAATTCAAACGTTGAGAACCCTTACAAAAAAAAGAGCGATATCAATCGGTATCAGTAAGTTTCTCGTTCGTTCGCCTGCGTTGTTACAACGATAGTTAATCGATTCCTACCTTCGCCCAAGCTTTCAAGAATGTGTTTATTATGTTACTATTGCCAATCAATTGAATAAACCACATTTCTATGAAGGTGAATAGTATCAGGGTGCAGGGTTTAAGATTCATGTGAGAAATTGTTGATGATTCATGCATCGATCTCTCCCAACATTAACTGTCGTCTTTAAAACGGATGGTATATGACAGACTTGTGTGAACTAAAACGGATGGTATTTGCCGCCAACCAAATTGCTATTTGCCGCCAACCAAAAAAAAAAAAAAAAGTATATATGTACATCTTTGGTTAAGAAATTTCACAATCTACAACATATCCAACTTTCAGAAAACGTATTGAATCAGAAAAAATCGACGCTCGCCGGAAAAGTCGCCGGAAAACCATCGGGAAAACCCATCCTCGACGTAAACTGCGGACACGCATCCATCAATCATCACTAAGCAGGTGCGTCAACCTCCCGTCGTCCTCAATCGTCGGAAAACAAGTAAGTTTACTAAGTCCGGCAAGTTTTTCAATTTTCCGGCAATTTTTCCAGTTTTTCGGCGAAAAAACACGGTGGGCCGAAAAAATTTTGTGGCCGGAACGCCGCCGGGCCGAAAGAATTTTTCGGCCGGAACGCCGCCGGGCCGAAAGAATTTTTCGGCCGGAGCGACGCCCAGCCGAAAAATTCTTTCGGCCCGGCGGCGTTCCGGCCGCAAATTTTTTTCGGCCGGTGGCCGAACGCGCCGCCGGAAAAATTCACGGCGGCGCGTTCGGCGACCGGCCGAAAAAATTTTGCGGCCGGGGCGACGACGGGCCGAAAAAATATTTCGGCCGGGCGTCGCGCCGGCCGCAAAAAAGTTTCGGTCCGGCGGCGCACCGGCCACAAGATTTTTTCGGCCCGGCGACGCACCGGCCGCAAATTTTTTTCGGCCCACCGTGTTTTTCGCCGGAAAACTGGAAAAATTGCCGGAAAATTGAAAAACTTGCCGGAAAAAGTAAACTTACTTGTTTTCCGACGATTGAGGACGACGGGAGGTTGACGCACCTGCTTAGTGATGATTCATGGATGCGTTTCCGCAGTTTACGTCGAGGATGGGCTTTCCCGATGGTTTTCCGGCGACTTTTCCGGCGAGCGTCGATTTTTTCTGATTCAATACGTTTTCTGAAAGTTGGATATGTTGTAGATTTTGAAATTTCTTAACCAAAGATGTACATATATACTTTTTTTTTTTTTTTAGTTGGCGGCAAATAGCAATTTGTTTGGCGGCAAATAGCAAGCCCCGTAAAGAAGTGGTTAATCCTTACATTGACCTCTCTAAATCATTCAAATTATTAGAACAAATTGGTTTATTACCTAAACTAAGGTGCCTCTACGGGTACCCCGGGTGAAATCCGGGTACCGCATACCTTAAGTACGAAAATGCTATCTAGACCTCGAATTAGTAGGATTTTCGGACATGATACTATACTCTAACCCTTAAAGATAAAAAAAACTAGGTCTTGATTCTCTAAATCTTATACCCCAAGATCAATTTAATTAGAAACAATAATCGACGGTTATGATTCGTCCAAATATAGGCAAAAAAATCAATGCACCATCTTAGGGTTTATAGTTTATGATTTAGATAATTAGGACCTAGGGTTCACTCATTAAGGGTTAGGGTATAAAATCATGTCAAAAAATCCTGCTAAATCGAGATCTAGATAGAGTTTTCGTACTTAAAATATGCGATACCCCGAAGTTCACCCGGAAAGTACCGTAGAAGGCACCCCTAAACTATTGGTAAAAGTCCCAATTGAATCGGCGGATTCCAAGCATTTTTGTCAGCTGGAACATCAGTTGTCCATCCCCAAAAAGCACGAACCCTTGCATCATATGCAGAGCTTTTGGCAAGCACCATGATTGTAAATAATGCAAAAAAACTGCAGATTGGGTTCCAGCCAGTACAATAGTCCATGATTACCTCAAAACTTAACCTCTTTTTTTTTTTATTTCTCAATCGAGCTAGCCTGTAGCTAGCAATTACGGCTTAATGCGATGTCCCTTTCTTCAATTATAGTGGGCAAAGATGATGATGGAAGGAAGGGTCCTCTGTAATTTTTAATATCGAAATTCAGCAGTTTTTCAAAGGCTTTGAAAGGGATTGCATAAGCGACTAGTGGCCATTCCTTTTGTGAAAACGACCCACTGCAGTAATGGTTGGTGGTGTCGCCTTCAATTCAATCGTTGGATGGATAAACCAAAGAAATATGTCATTCGGGTCGGGCTTCGATCGAGAGCATGGGTTGGTTGGTGACTGGTGTAGGCTGTGGGTGTTAACTCAATGTATTGCAATCTGACAATCTTATTAATTGATGAATAACGAGAATATAAACCCCTGTGTTTCAGCCTCAACATGACCTTGCACGACCCTCCACTCTCTGACTTATGGTTCCTACAAATCAGCAACCATCACTCAACTAACAACTACAAACTCTCTAACAAGACTAACCACTAACAGGACTCAAATGAACTAACTACACAGATGAGGACTAAAACAGACAAAAGACATTCGACTGACTCACTAACTGAAACGACAGCGTTTCACTTATTTGACTCTGATGTTTGAACTTGGCGCCATACAGAATCCTTCTCCTGAAAGGATTCGGATTCCTTCAAGCCTGCTGCTGTTCTTCAACCTTCAACATAATCCTCCCCTGAACTGAAGCCGGTTTGAAACCAAGCTTCAGTTCACTCCTTCACCTGTGAACTCTGCCAGATCACACACTCCCAATTTACTTCTCAGAAGCTGAAAACTCTCTAGCTTCAGTGGCTTAGTCATGATATCAGCCACCTGTTCATATGTGCTGCAATGCTCCAGCTCTATGACTCCTTCCTTAGCCAGATCCCTGATGAAGTGATATCTAACATCAATATGCTTGCTCCTTCCATGCAGCACTGGGTTCTTGGACAACTTAATTGCTGAGCTGTTGTCACAGAGAATGGTTGTGCAGCCTTCTGAACTCGAGTTCCAACCCAGACTTTCCAGAATCCTCTTCAGCCACACACAGTGAGCCACACAATATGCTGCAGCAATGAACTCGGCTTCTGTAGTAGAGAGTGTGACTACTGGTTGCTTCTTAGAGGCCCAGGAGATTGCTCCACCTGCAAGAAAGAACACATAACCACTGGTGCTTCTTCTATCATCCACATCTCCAGCATAATCACTATCAGTGTATCCTAGCAATCTGCTTTCTCCTCCCAATCTTTTGTACCAAATTCCAGACTTTGTAGTCCCTTTTAGGTAACGCAGCACCCTCTTAGCAGCCAACTGATGCTGTCTAGTAGGAGATTCCATGAATCTACTTAGAAGACAGACAGAGTACATCACTTCAGGCCTGGTTGCAGTGACATAAAGCAGACTTCCAATGAGTTGTTTATACTCTGTGGGATTTACTGAAACTCCATCCCCAGCTTTAGCCAACTTAACTCCAGGTGCAATTGGATTGCTAACAAAGTTGCAATCAGCCAGTTTGAACCTTTCCAGAACTTCCTTGATGTACTTCTGTTGGCAAATGAAGATGCCTTTGTCTGATTGCACCACTTCAATTCCCAGGAAGTATCTCATTCTTCCTAAATCTGTCATCTCAAATTCAGACTCCATGGTCCTCTTAAATTCAGCAATCATCTCTTCACAGTTGCTTGTATATAGCACATCATCCACATAGATTGACACAATGAGAATACCTGATTCCTCCTTCTTGATGAACAGTGTATGCTCATGAGGACACCTTTCAAAACCAGCCTTCTGCAGATATCCTTCAATCCTGCTGTACCATGCTCTGGGAGCCTGCTTTAGGCCATACAGTGCCTTTTTGAGTTTGTAGACCTTATGCTCCTCCCCAGCAACTTCAAAGCCTTGAGGTTGCTCCAGATACACATCTTCTGTAAGTTCTCCATGAAGGAAAGCTGATTTAACATCCAATTGATACACTGTCATACCATGATAAGCAGCCAAGGACAATATGGTTCTGATTGTGTCCCACCTGGCTACAGGAGCAAACACCTCTGTATAGTCAATACCAGCCTTTTGAGCAAATCCCTTGGCTACTAATCTAGCCTTTCTCTTGTCCAGAGAAGCATCTTCCTTCAATTTTGTTTTATAGACCCATTTGCATCCAATGGCCACTGCTCCTTCTGGTAAGTCAACCAGCTCCCAGGTTTGATTCCTTTCAATTGAATCAAACTCCAGATCCATTGCCTTCCTCCACCTTGGATCTTTATAAGCTTCTTCAAAAGTCTGAGGATCATCAGTGATAGCCAGCATCAATCTCCAGTCAGTATCTGCAAATCCACAGTCATAGATGGATAAATGAGAAGGTGGATGCCTGGACCTGGGAGGCAATCCCAACACATCAGTACCAGGTCCAGAACCCTCTTCATCAGGTTCATGCTCAGATTCTTCAACTGCTGGTGTTTTTGGACTCTCAGGTTCTT